CAGGATGAGTACAGATTGATCATTCCTACAGTGCAGGATGAGCAGTTTACAGCGGCTGGCAGCAGGTTAAAGGTAAATCAGGCCTATTCATTACACAGGAACTCTCTGAGGGCAGGAGGCTCAGGAAAGAAACATATTCCTTATAGAAAATTAGCGCTGCCAGTGCTGAGAATGAGGTCAATTTCCAAAAACGAAAACGACACGGAAATTACAATGATTACTTTATTTTATCTAACTATAGACGCGACTAGTCCAAAAACCTATGCGAAAGTATGAGGGAACACCCTGAGGGCGTCTCCAGCAGCCTATTTGCAGTCATTTCACTGTATAAATAAGGACCGTGTGATAAAGCTCGACCGTGTAGTGTGTAGAAAAAACGCTTTCCTCAAAATATGGACTACAGAGAGCGCAAATATCATTTCTAATAATTTCGTTTGATGGCTACACGTATTTTATCTACCGAAAGAAAAGGACTAAAATCATATACACGCAACCAAGGGGGACATTATTGGTAAGTATTACATTTACTTTGACATGTAATACGATGAAAAGGATTAGTTAAAAAAATTTATATTATAATAATAATAATAATAATAATAATAATAATAATATTTAAATAGGGCAAAAACAACGCCCAAGATACAACTTTTATACTAGTTTTGAGGAATCTAGTGGACTTATTGGCCATGTGTAAGTGTATGGAGGGTTTCTAACTTGTAAGGAATGTTAATGATACTTTTTTTTTTTTTTTAATTGTTGTAGGCCTACATCTAACACTATTCTCCAGCTTTAGTTTATTAAATTTGGCAGGAAAATCCCTCTGATATAGCTATATGACTGCAGACATGATGACTCACTATCAATAAAAACCCAAGAGACTTTAAGTATTATTAATGGCTTACTAACAATGTTATTGTCAGATGGAAACCCAAAGCAAATATGACAAAAAAACAGCACATACTGTAATACACAGGGAATCCCAGTAGATAGAGCCATTACACAGATGGTGACAGGTGTGAGGTACCAAAGGATTTTCTTTTCTTTTTTTACAGTGTTCAGGGAAGGCTTTAAACCATGTTTTAGTGCCCCTTGTGAAATAGTAACAGAGTCTGTGAAGAAATACTCAGATAAATAGTTCAGTATCTCTTAAATGAATCTTTGTTCCAGGTCTGGATCATATCAGTGTTGAGACCTCTGATCAGCATTTTCATTGAGCTGCTTTGCTTCAAATAATACTGTTTGTGTGCATCCAGTTGTATCTACATAATTGATTTTCATTTCAGACAGCCAGGGGTGTGAGGGTGTTTGTCTTGTATGTGCATTTCCTGCTCAGTGGTTGGCACAACAATGATGACATAGCCTGATAATCACTAGCATTGGGTTCATGTGTAAGTGTGTTGTTTTTTCCGAAGGTGTGTTTTGGAGTCAACTCTTTTCCATTTACATAGTAAAGATAAAAATCTATTTTTGCAATCAGGTTTGCTTGTACTGGAACTGAACATGACATTAATTAGTTTATCTGTTCCCTTGTCTCCTCTTTTTTATGGCCTTGGGTGCTGTTTTATTGCACAAGGCAGCATTTAAAATAAAAGCAGTGCCTGACAGTAAAACACAACTGAAGCTGTTGGCACACTTAGTATGGATCTGTGTTCACTCAAGCCATCAACACTATCAAATAAGACCCAAGATTATCTTGGAAACTGTAATCTCTTCCCTGTCTTATTCCCATAATATGAGAGTGCTAGGAAGTTGGCTCAGGACGTTCCTTTTAGTGATAACCTTTTCTGCCTGCTGTATCAGTTGAATGGCGTTTATAGCTTCTTTCAGCTCATTATTTTGGTTCACTCTCACTGCTCTCACAGTGTTGTTTTTGTACGCTAGCTGCTCAGCACAAACAGGTCATAGGCCAAGCTATCGACTAGCTGGTGAACATAGCGGAGCAGCTTAAGACCTAGATATTTCCCTAAGGAGTTGGTTGAAAGTTAAAAAGAGAGTAAATATTGGACTTGGTCACAAACACAGTTCAACATAAACACTAATGCTGCTAATCTGTTTCCATGTGTAAACACACTTTAAACAAATATTTTTTATTATTTTTCTCCCAAGTAGCCAAAAAATAAGAAAAAAATAATTATAATGATTTTTTTTAAATATGTATATAACTCCTCATATTTTAATGGTTCAATGGTTTTACAGTCACTATGTTGGCCATGTAAGGGCATGCAGCTGAAACAGAAGCCAAGAGGAAGTTTTCCTTTATGCCGTCATTGCAGTTAAATGTCAGGGACAACTATTATGATAAACTGATGCCATTGGGTCAAAACACTTCTGTTGTAACAGTTAAGTACCCAAGTACTTTTTTCCCCCTTCCCCTGAATCTCCAGATTCAACCAGCACTTATAAAATGTGCTCATACTACTTTGCCCTGTGGCTTTCAAGGAGGTTGAACAGGGTGAACAGAAAATAATGAACATCATGCTTGTATCAAGTTACAGTAGTCTCCCGGACTGAACCGGATTTGTTCATAGGGTTGCTGTATTAGAGTAAATGTTTTTACGTTGGGAAAAAGATGTGCCAGGTATGGAATTTTTCTCAATGAATCAATATGACTTGAAGCAATAGTAAAAAAATGTAAGTTGTGAAATGTTGCTCTTTTCCTGTACAGTCTGATACAGACTGCTTGTACTGTTTGTGTGTGTGTTTGGTATGTGAGTGAGTGAGTAGCGGGTATAGCGGGGTATTGTCATTTCCACTTAATTATGGTTCATTGTTTTGACAGCCAAATCAAGTGAAGACTGACTGCAAAACCTATGTTTGTGTCATTTTCCTACAGGCTCCGCCCCCTCCCCCACTGAGGAATATTTAAATCCTCAATTTCAGCAGACTGTGTTTCACTTTGTGTGTTTGGCTGTTCCCCAGACACACCTCACACTGGACATCATCACACTCAGGACAAAGCAAACCGGACAGCCTCCTGACCATCCAACTACAACCTGTCCAGATCAGGCAGTCACACAGCTGACCCTCATCTGACTCTCCCACTCAGCCTGGGGGGAAGGAGAAAAGAAGAGGCATTTTAAGAACAAGAAAACAAGAAAGAACACAGGACCAGGAGAATGAACAGTACAATAAGTCTTATGCTGGCTGTGGTGAAAATGATCTTGTGGGTTGCTTTACTGATGTCTCAGTGTTGTTTGGGTCTGAATGGAGTTGCAGCAGGAAGCGCAGGACTGGAGAGGATAGAGACATGTGCCACCAGATGTTCTCAGGTAAAACTGCATCCTAAGAATATATAAAAAAAAAAAAACTCTAAATATATGCTTAGAGATTGTCACTGAATTATTAAATATAGCCCTGTTATTAACTGCTGCTAACACTACAGTATAACATCTGTGATTGATTTTACTACTACAAATATTGGAAGCTAGCTGGACTAGCTGGAACAAATACTACTAATTCTTCTACACAGTTTTGTATGACATGGTGTTTAAGGTAAACCATGAGTATTTCCTAGAAAGCTCTTCAAACAGTTTAATAAGAATGAAAGTACTTCTGTGCCTTATTGTAAAATGAATTCCTGCTACCTGACACTGTATGACTCAGGTATTGACTCACTTATATGTTGTTACAGTATAGATGAAGGGGAGCATACCTACTGAACTGCAAGCATGCATGCTACAGTACAAGTATCTGCTACTGAGCTCATGTTAAGAGGGCAGATGTCTACCACAGTATTTTTTAATCCCACACAAAGTGCTAACTTAATCATTTACTCAAGCCTAAAGAGGAAACCAAAACAGCTGCAAATAAAGACAACACCTGTCTAGTGTAGCATGTTTACTTCTATCTGGTGAAATGTAACTAATTACGATTACCCAAGTACTTGAGTATTTCCCTTTTAGGCAACTTTATACTTTATAAACCACCATATCTCAGAGGCAAATATTAGTTTTTGTTACTTTTCAGATTACAATGTTTGAGAACCCATAAATGAACACTTCAACCTCAAGGATGAAGCGTTCATTTATGGGTTCTCCTACTTCTTTAGTAAGATAAGATAAGATAAGATAAGATAAGATTTATTTGTCCCACAATGGGGA